TTGTAAATAAGGTCTCACTACGCAACTGCTCCGACTCATAGTGATCCTTTTTCCTGCTCCCCAGTGCTGTGATTGCAGGCATGTACCACCACACCCAGACTCCATCTGCAGCTCAGCCAGCCCGAGGGAAGGGCCAGGGCCCAAGCGGCATGCATGCCAGGGATCAAACCTTGGCCCCTATGCCAACCACTTAGTCTGCTGAGCTATCTCACCTGCCCTTCTGTAAGGTTGATCTCAATACATAGATCAGACTTGTAGTGATTCTCCTGTTTTCAGCCCCCCAAGTGCTAGGATTATGGGTGCATGCCACCACACCCAGTCTCAATAGAGTCTCAGCAGGCCCCTGCAGCGGGCACAGCACACCAGGATCGAACCCTGGCTACTGCACTCTGCCTAAGCAGGTGCTCTAGTCTGCTGAGCTATCTGGTTGGCTTTGTGAGGTTTTAAATGCTCCAAAAATTACCAAATGTGATCAGATAAACCTAAATTCCAATACTCTCAAAGCAGAGGTTAGAAAATTACAAACTCAAGCTTAGCTTGGGCAATTGAATGAGACTTATCTCAAAAAAAGTTCTGAGGATGTAGCTCAGTAAAAATGCCCTGGGTTCAATCTCTAATATGGGGGAAAGGGATGTTTAATTTAAAAATGCCTTGGGCATGGTATCAACCACAAGAAATTTTAAGATTTCAAATTTTTTTTTTTTTTTTGGTATTTTTTTTTTTAAAGGAAGGATCTACATCTACAGGGTGTTCAGGGTCTTACTACTAGACTGGACTCATAGTGATCCGCCTGTTTACAGCCCCCCAAGAGCCAGTCTCAATTGCTGTCTCAGCCCACCAGGGGTGGGACCAGGATAGCAGGCCTGGGGATCTGCGCCTGCTTAAGATTTCAATTTTCACACTAAGCCGGGCATGGTAGCACACACTTATAATCCTAGCAGTTGAGAGGCAGAGGCAGGAAGATCCAAACAAGCTCAAGGCCAGCTTGAACTATGTAACAAGACTGTCTCAACCACAAACAAACAAAATGTGATTTTTTTTTTTTTTAAACTGGGGTACTTAATCTGATAAAGTCTAAATGCAAAACAACTTTCCCAAATGTGAAGATTTCTGGTTCTGGGCATTTCAGAAAAGGGACACTCAATCTGTGCTTCCCTACAAAGGCCAAAAACAAGGGCTCTTTATGTTCTAATTTGGATACACGAAAGGGATAAAAGCAAGGTAGAGAACCTTAAGTCTAATAAATTATTTTTGCTAAACCAGCCAATTGGGTGACTGAGGTAAGAGGATTACAATTTCAAAGTTCAACTAGGCAACTTAGCAAGACTCAATCTCAAAAAATAAAACAAGGTAGCAGTGTAGTTTGGTGATGGAACACTTGGCATGTAGGAAGCCCTAAGTTCAATCCTAACGATTGCTAAATAATTTTTGTGTTTCAAAAGATTATACATACACTATGTGTAAACTATGTCTGTGTACATACTCATTTCAATGTAATATGCATGCGCGTATTTTTGGAAAGACATACAAGAAACTAAATGTCATAGTCATCCCAGGCCAGGGAGATAACTCAGTAGAATAAGCACTTGTCTAGTCAAGCACAAGATCCTGAGTTCAACCGCCGGTACCACAATAAATAAATAAATAAATAAATAAATAAATAAATAAATAAATAAATAAATGCCATAGTTATCCCAAGGAAGAGAACTAGATAGAGAACAAGGAGGGAAGATACCTTTGGACCAGCATGGACGATGCCACTGTGATACACATAAACAGCTTTATTGCCACCCTAGGCACTGAGAACAATCTGTAACAGGCGGGCCTAGTGGGAAGAAGTAAGGTCTCTGTGGCTGCCACTGAGAAGGGACGCTGGGAACCCAAGCCCTTGCTTCTGCTGCTTTGTTGCCCCAGAGAGCAGCTTCCTCCACACTGCCTACCGCATGCAGTCTTGTACAGGCCCAAAAGAAAACAAGGCCTGACTCAAACTGTTGAGTCAGAATAAACCTTTAAGTTGACTGTATCAGGCATTTTGTCACATTAAAGGAAAACTAACACATATCAATTCCTATCCAAATATTAAAACTTAAAAATATCTTACGCAGTCAGGAATATAGCTAAGTGTCATAACCACCTGCCTGGCAAGCAAAAGGTCCTGAGTTCAATCCCTAGTACTGAAAAAAAAAAAAAAAAATCTTATGGTAGGGCAGCCAGTTTGGAAGCTCATACCTGTACTCCAACATTTGGAAGGCCAAAGCAGGAGGATGAGGCCAGCCTGGAAACCTTGTCTCAAAAAAAAAAAAAAAAAAAAAAAAACCTGGTAGGGAATGGTGGCACACACCTTTTTTCCCCAGCACTCTGGAGGCTGAGACATAAGAATTCCAAATTTCAGCCCTGCCTGGGCAACTCAGCAAGACCTTATCTCAAAACTTAAAAGGGGAGGAGGGTAGCTGTTGGAAATGTAACTCAGTATGAAGGCCCCTGGGTTCAATCCCCAACACTAGGGGAAAAAGAAAATCTGTAACACCTTTGCTGAAAAGAATGGGATCTCATATCACAAGGGCATTTTTTTAATTAAATACTGCTGGTCTGTCGAATTTCCCCACCAGTGACACAAACAGAAACATCACAAAAAGAATAGCTACATTACCTGAGAAACACAGCTAGAGAGATGCTTTTGAACTCAAAGGATAATGAAAAAATTGAAGGCCATCAGAAAGCTAAGCCAATGCAAAGGTTCCTGTGCCAAGTCACTCTAGGGACCAGCACAGAAAGCAAATTTTCTTTTTTTTCTTCTTTTTGAGACAAAGTCTCACTATACAGTTAGTTCAGGGCTTCCCTAACTCACTTCCTACCCCAGGCTGGCCTCAAATTTGCACAAATCCTCCTGCTTCAGCCTTTCAAGTGCTGGGATTACAGGCATGCACCACCACTCCCCACAAGTAAATTGTTTTTTCACTTTATTCCCCTCTAAATCATTTTGGAGAAAACAATATTTTGTTTTATTGTAAAGAAAAAGAAACACAATTCTGATCCCTTAGTTAAGAGAGTGAGCCAAGCATGGCGGTGTGCACCTATAATCCCAGCACTTAGAAGGCTCAGGCAGGAAGATTACCATGATTTTGAGGCCAACCTGGATTACACAGTGAGTTGAAGAGCAGCCTGAACTACAGTGAGACACTATCTCAAAAAACAACAAAGTATTCATGTTCTTGTGCTCAGTTTTTGTTTTTTGTTTTGTTTTGTAGTACCAGGGATTGAACTCAGGACCCTGCGCTTGCCAGGGAAGCCCTTATTCTACTGAGCTATCTCCCTGGCCCAGAATTCTTTTTTTTTTTTTTTTAGTGGAACCAGGGATTGAACTCAGGCCCTTGCACTTGCCAGGGAAGTGCTTATTCTACTGAAGCCATCTCCCCGGCCCCCAGAACGTTCTGTAGAATAAAATACATTAAGAGAAAATTAAATTCTGGCAAAGAACCAGTGTAACTATTTTCTGTGTGGAATTTTGCTATACATTTCCTGACAGCCAAGTCAAAGAGAACACAAATAATCACATTATACCCTTCGTTTTCAAGGAAAGTATTATCTACTCATTAATATACTGATTTACCTACAGGTGTTTCCTTCTGCCACAAACATCATCTCAGCTTTTTTTTTTTGTGGGGGGGGCAGCTCAGCCCGCCCTGAGGGCTAGGGCTGGCATGGCGGCATGTGATATTGGGTCCCCTGAACCTGCCCAAGCTTGCCTAAGCAGGTACTCTAGACGGCTGATCTCACCTGCCTCATCTTGGCGTTCTTTAGTTGATTGGGTTTTTTCTGGTTTTGTTTTTGGGTTTTTTTTTTTTTTTTTTTTGCAGTACCTAGAATCAAACTTGGGACCTTGCACTTGCCAGGCTGGCACTTATACCACTAAGCTATATCTCCCCAGCCCCCTGATCTTGGTTTTATTTTTTTGTATTTAGTACAGGAACAGGAACTCAGTGATCTTCCTGTTTTCAGCCTCCCAAGCACTGGGATTATAGGTGTGTGCCACCACGCTCAACCTCAATCACCTCTCAGTGTGTACCAGGGGCAGGCCCAGCACAGCACATCAGGGATCAAACTCCAGTCCCTGCTTAGTCCACCTAAGCCAGTGCTTTAATCCACTGAGCTATGTGGCCAGCCCCTCACCTTGGTTTTAATTCTAATTTGTAGATCAACCATCAAACACAGCACTGCCTTGGATGCATACTCACCCCCATTTCTTCTTCTCGAACAACATACTGAGCCACTTTGAATGAGCTCAAATATTCATTCATGCCCTGCAATTCTGTGTCTTCAGTCTCATCCTGGTTACGGTCCAGCAGTCGTTCAATGGCCTTATCATCATAATGGATAACACTGCTGTCTTCTCCCTCTTTGTTGTCTCCTCCTATAGAGAATCAAAGGCCCATAACCCAAAGTCAGCTTCAAAAGCAGCGCAAAACACAGGTCCCACAGGACCCCTGGTATCTAAGAGACTCCCTGCTCTGAGAGGCCAAGCCCCACCAGGAAACTGAAGTCCCTGACTCGCTCACCTCCATCTGTGGCTTCATCCTTGAACAGTTCCTCAGTACCAAATTTAAGGATATCATCAAGCTCCTGCTTGGACATAGATCCAGTCTTCGATCCGAGCCCAGGGCGTACCACTAGATGCGTCAACATCATCTTCTTCTTTGCCACCTGTGTGATGCGTTCTTCCACTGATGCACGGGTTACAAATCGGTAGATCATAACCTTCTTATTTTGTCCAATTCGGTGAGCTCTGCTAAACGCCTAGAGTTGAGAAAAAAATAACTAGAAATCCTATTTTCCTGTCACCTTGCCTCAAATCAAAGCCAGTAGAAGGTAGGGGCTGCCACTTGCCTTAATAGGATACTTCCTTTTTCACCCATACCCCAAACAGCACCCTTTATTGATATTACCTAAAATATGTCCAGTGCTAACACAAACCCTCTTTTCTTGTTATCTTTTTATTACAGGGTCTCACTATGCAGCTCAGTCTGGCCTTCAGCTTACTTTGGAGCCCAGGTCGGTCTTGAACTCTATAAACAATCCTCCTTCCTGCCTCAGCCTCCCAAATGCAGGGATTACAGATGTGCACCACTAGTCCAGCTCTCTGGTTTATAAAAATAATCTGGATGTATCTGTTATCCCAGCACTCTTGAGAGACTAAACCAGGACAATTACAAATTAAAAGCAGACCTGAGCAACTTAATAAGACCCTGTCTAAAAGCAAATTAGTTATTTTGTTTTGTTGAGATAGGGTCTCACTACGTAGTCCTTGAATGCAGCAATCCTATCTTAGCCTCTCAAGTGCTAGGATTATAGGCATGTGCTACCATGTCCAGTTCCTGTCATAAAATTTTAAAAGAATTTTTTTTTAAAGGAAATATGATATGGCTTGGTACAAAGGCCCAAGGGTTAAAAAAAAGGGGGGGGGCAGGGAGATGGCTCAGTAGAATAAGCACTTCCCTGGCAAGTACAAGGGTCTGAGTTCAATTCCTGGTTCCACCAAAAAAAAAAAAAAAAAAAGGACTCTGATGTTTCTAAGTTGAGCAACTAGTTTGAGAAAGTAGAGCCCTCATAGAAAAGCTGCATCTCTATAAAGTTACTGTCTCCTCAGACTACTCTCTGTCTGCTCACCTGGATGTCATTATGGGGGTTCCAGTCAGAGTCATATATAATAACTGTGTCAGCAGTGGCCAAATTGATCCCAAGGCCGCCAGCACGTGTGGAAAGCAAGAAGCAGAACTGTTGAGCCCCTGGTGCTAAAAAACAACAACAAAACAATTAGTTGTCTCCTTAATTCCAATTAATAAATGAAAAAAAATCTCAGAAATATAAAACTCCAGGGCTGGTGAGATGGCTCAGTGGTCTAAAGCACCTACTTAGAACAAGCTTAGCAAAGCACAGGACCACAGTTCAATCCCCCAGCACCACATGCCAGCCAGCCCCGCCCCCTGGTGGGCTGAGCTGGCCACACACACACACACACACACACACATAAATAAATAAATAAAATTTAAAAAGAAATATAAAACTCTGTAGGCAGAAACCTCAGTAATAGCTACAAGCAAAGTCTCCCCAGATGTTGAAATAAGTGAAAGTTTAAGAACAAATAGGGTATCACTAGTCAAGTATCATCTTCAAGGTCTTTATGAATTACACACTGCCATCTATAATCTCAGCTAACTGGGAGACTAAGATAGGAGGATTGTAAATTCAAGGCCAACTTAAAAAAAAATTTTAAAGTAGGGTCAGGGTTAGGACATAAAGCTCAGTGGTAGAACACCCTGAGTTCAAGCCCTAGTACCACCAAGCTATATATAATCAATTACAATGGGAAAAGAATAACCAATATACATCAAGAGATCCTCTTACCCAACAATCAGTAATCCCCAGAAATGAAACATAGCACTTCACATCCAGTGTGATACAATAAAACAACACAGCATCAGGTGTGGTGGCACATGCCTGAAATTCCAGCCCTTGGGAGGCTGAGGCAGTATGACTGGCCAGCCTCAACTATATAGCAAGTTCAAAACCACCTGGCGTACAAAGTGAGACCATATCTCAAAAAATTATTTTAAAAATAAAGATAGGGGCCGGGAAGATGACTCGAGAATAAGCGCTTCCCTGGCAAGCGCAAGGGCCAGAGTTCAATCCCTGGTTCTGCAAAAATAAATAAAAATAAAAATGTATTATACAAAATAAAATATACTCATCAAAAGTATCAATCTTGGGGGTGCTGGTGAGATGGCTCAGTTGTCTAAAGCACCTACTTAGAACAAGCTTAGCAAAGCACAGGGATCACGGTTCAATCCCCCAGCACCACATGCCAGCCAGCCCCGCCCCCTGGTGGGCTGAGCTGCCCCCCACACACACATAAATAAATAAATAAATAAATAAATAAAATTTTTTTTTAAAAAAGTATCAATCTTGGGGCCAGGGAGATGGCAGTGGAATAAACACTTCCCTAGCAAGCAAAGGGCCTGAGTTCAATCCCCAGTTCCACCAAAAAAAAAAAGTATCAATCTCAGGGCCGGGGAGATGGCTCAGTAGAATAAGTGCTTCCCTGGCAAGCAAAAGAGCCTGAGTTCAATCCCTAGTTCTGCAAAAACAAGAAAGAATAAAGTTTCCGTTAGTATTTTTTAATTTTTTCTTTTTTTCTTCACATTCTATAGGGATTTAAAGTATAACATATCAATACTTGATGGAAAATACCTGCTCCATATTATGTCTAAGATGTTTGATATTCAGACAGATAGTGAGGTTAAGCTCAACTGCCTAGGTTGTAGGGTAATAATATCACTGAATTTCTCTTCTGGAGGGTTAACAACCTAAGTTTGCAGACCAAAAATTAGAAAAAAAGAAGAGCTGCAAGGACAGCCAACATTTTGGCCCTAGCCTTTCAAGGTCAGTGAAGACTCAGGACATAGGAGAACCTGTATTGTAACATCATGTAACTCAGTTGTGTCCCAAATTTACTGATCAAGGAAATTATGGGGTCACAGAGGAAAGTGATCGATGATGTAGAGTGTGCCTAAAGAGAGTCACATGGAGAGAAAACATTCCTCAGGCTTTCACAGAGAGCAAACTGGTCAAGCAATGACCGTGACTCATCCACATGGCTCACATGGACAAAGGATCTACAAACGGCGGTACAGGGTTTCAGGGTAAATCCTGAGGGGATTTGACTGACCTTGGCAGATACAAAAGTTACTTGTCATATAGGTCTTGCTTTATCTTAGTCTTAACCATCCAGCAGAAAAGTATAAACACGAGGTATAAAAAGTAAAGCTATATTAATATGCTGAGCTATAAAAGGCTCAAGTCAACAACTTTTTTTTTTCTTTTTACAGAACTGGGGATTGAACTCAGGCCCTTGTGCTTGCCAGGAAAGCACTTATTCTACTGAGCCATCTCCCCAGTCCCTAGTCAACAACTTCTGACATTGCCAGTTCTATGGATAACCCACTATTATGCACTACTGGACTATATTGGAATATTTTGCTGAATTCACGTACCTACAATATTTAAATGGCAATGGAATACCCATCTCTGACAAAACTAAACAAAAAAAAAGGGATATAAATGGAGGATAATTTTGTATCTGTATATGCAAAATAGGATAGACTGCTACTTTCTCTTACTGAAAAGAAAGATTTGTACTAATAGTGTTTTGACAGGGTATCATGTCTGCATTTTGTAGTATGAATAACCACTACAAAGACAACAATATGCAATGTATTAATTATTAAAACTGTCCTACTAATCGGTTTTGAAATTCATTGCTATTTCTCAATAAAGTTAATTAAAAAAAAATAGAGTCTCGGGCCAGTGAGATAGCTCAGTGGTCTAAAGCATGTGCTTAGGCAAGTTTAGGCACAGAGGACCACACCAGCACCATGCCATACCAGCCCCGCCCTCAGGGTAGGTTGAGGGGACAAAAAATAAAAAAATAAAATAAAATTTCCAAAGGGGGTAAAATCTAGAATTAATAAATATATTATTTCAGTCAGAACATTCAAAGGTTTTCCTCTTCCACATCAACTGACAAAGACCCACAAGAACTACACAGAAAAAGATGTGTAAGAATAAGTGATCCAGGGGCCGGGGAGACAGCTCAGTAGAATAAGCGTTTGCCTGGCAAGCACAAGGGACTGAGTTCAATCCCCAGTTCTGCAAAAAAAAAAAAAAAGAATAAATCCATCCAAAGATGCAAGCAACTTCAGGGTACTAGACACAAGCCCTTCCTTCCTTTCTGTACCATTAAAGCGGTCAATGGCCTCTTGACGCATGTTCCCAGTGATTCCACCATCAATACGTTCATATTTATAACCTTCATGTTCCAAGAAATCCTCTAGAAGGTCTAACATCTTGGTCATCTGTAAAAAGAGCAGCTTAGTTATGGAAGAGTCAAATGATAATCCCTTTCCTCATGTCTCTATCCACTACTAAAGCGCCCAGCCCAGCCCACGTAATACCTGGGAGAAGATGAGCACACGATGCCCACCCTCCTTAAGATTCTTAAGCATCTTCTGCAGCAACAATAATTTCCCTGATGCTCTGATTAGGGCACTGCCATCGTACATGCCATTAGGCATCTTAGGAGCTTCCTGAGGACAAAAACAAAGGTAAAAATATTGAAAGAAAACCTATAAAAAAAGAATCCCAACCCAAGCAGGACCAAGAGGTATGTGAATAGCACAACATACCATTGCTGCCACAGGGAAGAGGTATGGATGATTGCAGCACTTCTTCAGATCCATCACCACATTTAGCAAAGAGACTTGGTTGCCACCACCTCGAGCATTGAGTGCTTCAAAATTCCGAGTGAGGATGTACTTGTAGTACTTCCTGCATGAGCAAGAAAAAGGTTGGACTTGGGACTCTGAATGACTAATAATGCAGTGCACGGCCAGAGGCCTTTTCAACATACCTCACTTGGGGGCTAGGGAAACCAAATTAGCTGACCAGCAGCGCCATCATCATGTTAGATGAGGCACGGCCTAAGAGCTATACGCTCCACCTCCACTATACCAGTTCTCCGCAGGCCGCACCTGCAGCTGTCACCAGCTGCCTTTAGTGTCAGGTGGGGTGGAGGTGAAACACAAGGCAGACCTAGAGGGGGGTCTCACTACACTCCCAGAACAGGGCCAGCACTCCTGTCCCTCCTCACTCACTTCTGCATGGGGCTCAGCTCCACCCGTACAATCAGTTCTGTCTTGGATGGCATATTCTTGAACACATCAGCTTTCAGCCGCCGCAACATGTGAGGCCCCAGCATGTCATGCAGTTTTTTAATCTGGTCCTCTTTAGCAATGTCAGCAAACTCCTCCAAGAAGCCTTCCAAATTGCTTCACAAAAAGCAAGAAAAAGTTATTGGAATGGGAAAGTAGCACAGAAAATGTGCAACAGCATTATGAGCTGATTATAGAGAAACCCACACTCACTGGAACCTCTCTGGGGTGAGAAAGTTGAGAAGATGAAACAGCTCTTCAAGATTGTTCTGCAGCGGTGTTCCAGTCAGCAATAGCTTGTGCTGGAGGGAGTAGCCATTCAGGACCCGGAAAAACTAGGGAAGCAGATGGGGAGGGGTGAACCTCACTGACAGAGAGAGTGCCAGTGTATCTGTAGAATTTATACTGATTTAGGTGCAGCTAGGAATAAGTCTAAGGCCTTCACACTGAACTACATGCTTGGCCTTTTTCTTTGGTGAAACGAGATCAAATCCAAGGGTGCCCCAATCACTGAGCTAAAACCTTAGCTCTCCCCTTCTTTACTCGGCCCCCTTTTTTTGAAACAGGGTTTCACTAAGTTGCCTAGGCAGAAGAGGAACTTACACAGGTGTGCACCACTGTCCCTGGCTTTTATTTTTTGGTTGCAATAAATTGCGGCCATTTTGGGCTCAAACATGTTATCCTCCTGCCTCAGCCCGTGTGAGTGTGCTCGGATTACAAGTATGCACCAACATGCCCAGCTATCCTTTTCATTTTTTTACTTTCATTATATATAATATAATCTTTTATTTATTTGGTACAGGGTCTTGCTACATAAATCAGACTCATAGTAATCCTGTCTCAGCCTCCCCAGCACTGGGATTACAGGTGTGCACCACCATGCCCAGTTTTGGTGGCCAGTAAGACGCACTTGGATCTCCAGGGCCAGCCCAGAATGCGGTACTAGGGAGTTGAACCTAGGTCTTCGTGCTTACCAGGCATGCACTTAAGACCACCAAGCTATCTCTCCAGCCCATATTTTTGATACCTGAGTATCAAGCATCAAACTCAAAGCTTCCCAGACACTAAGCACATGTTCTATCACTGAGCTGTGCTCCCACAGCTTTTGTTTGTCTGTTTATTCTTCAGTGCTGGAGTGAACACAACACCTTGCAAACACTGAGAAAATGTTCTAACCATTGCTGCTTTTCTAAGGCCTGGGCGCATGTGGATGGAGACCATTTTTCCCTTTTCTAGGTTTCCACTGAATGAATACACAGTACTAAAAAACTAAAAATAGGACCCTGTAACCCTCTGTCTTCTCACCTTAGACTGATTGTTCTTCAGCCGATGGGCTTCATCCACAATGAGGCAGGCCCAGTCAATAGAACCCAGGATAGCCATGTCAATGGTGATCAGCTCGTAGGACGTCAGCAGCACATGAAATTTCACAGATGCCTCTTTCTGCACAAGAGGACAGCCTGGTCACTAATACCTCATACCTATAGCATAAACCCCCTCCCCTCCCAGGGTTATCCTGCCTCACCAAGGGCACAAGGAGGCAAACCAGGCCTGAAGCCCTCTCCAGAGCAGCTCCCCCCGCAGAGGTACCTTCATGCGGGATGCCTTTTTGCCACCACGAATGGCATTGTCTTCAAAGGAGAACTCGTTTTCCCGAATGATGGCACGGCTGTCCTTGTCCCCCACATAGGTCACCACATACATGTCGGGAGCCCACATCTCAAACTCCCGCTCCCAGTTGATGATTGTAGAAAGAGGTGCACTCACTAGGAATGGCCCCTTTGAATGGCCCTTGGAGAAAAGAAGAGGTGGTCAAAACCCAGCACCCAACTATGCCCATCCCTTGTGCAAGATCAAGGACTGGCATCTGAACTGCTGTTCCTGTCCTTACCTCACACACCAGAAAGTCCAACCCACTCTAGCTCACAATGCCACAGCCCACCTGGACAGACATAAGCTCTTACTCCTTTTAAGCCTCGCCCTACTAGAAACTGTTCAAAGGGAAGGAATTCAGATGAGGGAAAGGGAAAAAGAAATATGTATGTATATGCACAGAACAGCTTGCATTATCGTACTACTGGTTTTTGCTAGTCTACTGAAAGGAGTAGTTAATGCTTAAATTTTTCTCCCTCTCCTTTTTAAATTTTTGTAACTTTTTGAACAATTTTGCATGCTTCTATCTGGTAATCGAAACAACTAATTTGAGGGGCCAGGGAGATAGCTCAGTAGAATAAGCGTTTGCCTGGCAAGCACAAGGGCCTGAGTTCAATCCCTAGTTCCGCCAAATAATTTAATAAATATTTTTAAAAAATGAACAACTACTTTGAAGCCAACAATATGCAATATAATAACCACTGTTGGGGCCTGGGAGATGGCTCAGTGGAATAAGCCCTTCCCTGGCAAGCACAAGGGCCCGAGTTCGATCCCCAGTTCTAAAAAAAAAAAAAAAAAAAAAAATGTTATTATATTGAATTCCTATCATTTTGTTTGGTAAAAGTCTGTATCATGGGGGCCTGCCCCTTAGCTCAGTTCTTGAAGTGGCTGCTTCAACAAAGCAGTCAGGCTCACGTTGCTGTGGTTCAATCCCCACAACTCAAGCCAGCCAAACCTGCCCTGAAGGCATTCGGAGCAAAAAAAAAAAAAAAAAAAGTCTGTTACCCTTTCTAATGTTGAGAGTTTATTTGTGTATATATGTGAGACGGGGTCTCCCTATGTATTCAGGTTGACCTTGTGCTAACTTTATAGCCCAGGCTAGTCTCAAACTCACAATGATCCTTCTGCCTCAGCCTCCCCAGTGCTGGAATTACAGGAATGTGCAACCACACCCAGCTATTTTTTTAAGTTCTCTTCAAAAAACATAAAAGAATGTATTTGTTTCACTGGAAAGAAAATTGTTCTGTACTAACCCCTCCCACAGCTCCTCCTCTGTGCTCAACACACAACCACTGCCCCAGGATGGAGGCTAGGCTCAGGTACCCACAGCTAATTCCACTATAGCTCTATTCCCTAGAGGCTTTTGCTGGGGACATATGCCTAGCACTTACCAGTGTTCTTCAAGCTCAAAGACCAACTTCTAACCAGTAAAGTTTACTCTGAGCAGCACCCGGGCAATGTGTATGTTTATACACTGACCATCCTGAGCATCACTCAGGC